GCCCGCTCCTCCTCGTGCCCCCGGTGGCAGGTGGGAGACCCGAGCTGCGGGGTTCACGCCTCTGCCCTCTGCCCTCTGCCCCTGCGGGCGGCGGGCGGCCAGGCTGACGCTGCTCTCTCCCCAGGATGACCATCCTCCCTCCCGTGGAGAAGCTGAAGACGGTGCTGCAGAGGGTGAAGGACTTCCACATCCAGTTCCTCGAGGAGTTCGCCTGAGGCCCCGGCCGCCTCCTCGACGCCCCCACTGAACCCCTCCCAGCGACCTGCCTCAGGCCCCGCCCGGGCCACCGGTCGCTGTCACCGCCATCCTGCCCCAGGAGGCCTCCTTCTTTGTGCCTTGACGTGGGGAGCACGTCTCTCCCGAGCCGATGTGAATGGGGATGTCCCAGAAACCCTGTTTCTCTTCTTGTTTTTTGATGCAACCAAAGTCGAGGGGACGTGGCCCGCCCGTGGGGGGCGCGTCTGGACCTGCTGCCGCCGCTGCTCCCGGGGCTCATCGGGGTGAGAGGCTGCTCCGAGGAACAAGAGGCTGGAAGTGCAGGGCTGAACCCCGGGGAGGACTGGACATCCCAACCGCCACGTGATCTGTGAAATAAAACCCTTGGTGCAGAACCCAGCCCCCAGCGGGGGCCCGGAGTCCACTGCAGGCTCAGTGGGGCGCCCCCTTCTGGCCGGAGGCAGACAGTGCGTCTCAGTGCAGGGGTGCAGGGGTCGCGGGGATGCTGGGCGGGTGGTGGTGGGTACCGTTTTTCTTGTGTCCTGCAGGGGATGAGTGGGTGTGAGCCGGGTGACCAGGCTCCCAGGGAGCAAGGACTCTGTGCACCCACGAGGCTTTGGGGGTGACGGGTTGGCTGGGACCTGGGACGGGGGTACAGCCCGGCGCTACCCTGCTATCCCAGTCGTGTGTGGGCAGTCAGCCTGGTGGTGAGTGGATCCATCCTGCTTTTCCCCAACTATGGTTCTCTCCCAGGGCCCAGTTGAGCCTTGACACACAGCACCCTCTGCTGGCGAGAGCAGGAACAGTGAGACACTGACCCGGTCCTAGTGCCCAAGGGGCCTCCTTGAGGACTGGCCAGTCACCCCGTCTCCACAGCTGAGCCCTTGCAAACTGCGTTTGGCCCACTTCCTGCCCATGAACTGGCCGACGCGCCTGCCGTGCGGTCGATCTGAAGTGCATAAAAGTGCTTCACTTCCCGCAGTGTTTGCCTCCACACCTGCTGCTGGCTGCCCTCCCGACAGCCAGGGGGCCGCAGCACCTGTCACCTCCCCAGGCCGGGGGTGGGGCACCACCCCTTGCCGCAGCCTCCCTGGCTTAGCACACCTGGCCGGGGCCCCACCGCCCTCCAGAGAGTGGGAGCAGGCGTGCCCCCTCCCACCCCGCCTCCCCAGGGGGCAGGGAGGGAGCCCAAAGGCCAGCACAGGCGTCTGGGGACCCAGCACGTCCCAAGGGGAAAAGGAAGCAGCTGGATTGAGAATCTGAGCTTGGAAAGCAGCCTCTGGGGCTCCAGTTTCCAGGGCAAACTCCCTGCGGCCCCCCGAGAAAAAGGCAGCCACAGCCTCGAGGAACAGGGTCTCTGGGAACGCGGCCTTCCTGAAAAAGCTGGACGTTGCCGGGGCTCTGGCATGGTCCGGAACCAGGATGTGCAGAGGCGGGTCTATTTTTTATATTTTTGTAACAACTGCTTTTTTCATGGGCGGAGGGAGGGCTGGTATTTGTAGTCTTCACAAGCCCAGTAGTTTTTTTATATATATATCTCTTCGGATTCTGAGTAACCCCTGACGTCTTTGCAATGTTTACATGGTTTTTAACGATGCCGCCGCGTACACTTGGTTTGCCTGTCGACAGCGAATGCAGGCCTGGCAAGGGGCGCGGGGTGGGAGCGCCGGTCACGGTCACGCGCGATCTCGTCTCCTACAACTTCCGTCCTGGTGTCTGGTTTGGGTGCCACCAGAGAGATACATTGGCCATTTGGGGCCACACTGTAAATCCACACCCGTGAGGTTTTCTGTCCATTTAGACCCACAAGTGGGGGGCCTGGGGGCCAGGCTGCGCGTCCCCAGGTATGGATTTGCGGGAGGGGCGACAGGCCTGTCTGCCCCCGTTCCAGTCTGGATTCTCACAGGCGTCTCCTGAGCAAGGCACTGAGGACGAGAGCTCTGCTGGGAATTTCAAAATAAAACACTTTGTGTCAAAAACGGTCCCGGGCTTCACGGTCCTTGTGTAGATTGCACACCCAGCGGACATCCTCGCTCGGCAACGTATTCCCAGCACAATGAGCGTTTCCCCCAAATACCGCGGCAATGGGTGTACAGAGCCTCGTTCTATTCGACTTTTGTGTATATTTTTGTAATGAAAACATTTAAGCAACCGCGAACCTTGAACGCAGAGGACGTCATCATTTTTGACTCGGGGTGCCTGCTCTCAGTACAACAAGGGAGGCACGTGTCTTAACAAACACTGATCGGCACATCAGATGCATTTTCTATTACTTAATTAACAACATGCCATAAAACACCTTACAACATTGCTTTGTAACGACTACATACCGGCATCGAATGGATGCGATGAGATGCGATGGGGTGTTCAGGTAGCGTCCACTCACAATCACAGTCTGTCTCTCCACGGACAACCTTGTGTTGATCTTGTGCACGGCCACCCTGTCCCTTCGAGGAAGGGAGTTTCCAGATGAAAAAAGGTTTAAGCACCAATGGGATCCCCGCCAGCAGTTACTTATTCATTTATTTTAATTTTTTCCCTCTTTATTGATTTTAGAGAGAGGAAGGGAGAGAAACATTGACTTACCGTTCCACCTATTTATGCACTCTGATTCTTGTCTGGGCCCTGACCGGGGATCGAACCTGCAACCTTGGTGTATCGGTTTGACGCTCTAACCAACTGAGCCACCCAGCCAGGGCTTGGCAGGGTTTCGTTTAAAAGCAAACACACGCCCTCTAACTCGGCAGCCGGGCCCACCTGCACTGTGGTGGTTCAGCTTTGCGACGAGACCTGGACACAGCTCCTGAGCACTGCCTGGCCCCCGTGCCTCTGGCTAAGACGGCCGTGTGGGCTGACTAGACATTGTGCCCGAGGCCAATGATGTGACTCCAGACTGCACTGCGGTGGGTGGGGGTGGACATGCACACGGGTGCCTGAACCTACTTGCGTCGGCGTTACTGGCTGTGTTACTGGCTGGGCAGGTTTTCGCGGTCAGGCCGTTCCTCCTGGTACGTTGTTGCTTTGCACGCAGCCTGGCGGTTATTCTGGCCGTGACTGGCCGTGAGAGCTCTGTGCAACTCCGTCCCCGGCTGCAGGGAAGGAAACGGAGATACTGAACAGCTGACTTACCCCCGAGGTGGCTCAGGCCCGCTGCTGCCCACGTATGTCAGGAAGGGGGCTCCAGGGCGGCTCCCAACATTCCTGCTGGTCCGAGAGGGAGCCCAGCCGGCGAGGCTCAGTGGTTGAGGGTGGACCCATGAACCAGGAGGTCACGGTTCAATTCCCAGTCAGGGCACATGCCCGGGTTCCGGGCTCGATCCCCAGTGTGGGGGTGCAGGGGGCAGCCGATCAATGGTTCTCTCTCATCATTGATGTTTCTGTCTCTCCCTCTCCCTTACTCTCTGAAATCTTTGTAACGACCAAAGACCGGCATGGGTGGGTGGGGCCACGCGATTTCACGTACTGGGCTTCTAGTATATATATATATATAGAGAGAGAGAGAGAGAGAGAGCGCAGTGGAAAAGGGCAGAGGCCCCAGGCCAGGACGAAAGGCAACACCCTCTCCCTGCTCCTCCCACACTGACAATGGATGGCTCTCAAACACCTAAGACGTGATCCCTTCCAACACAAAGCTCCTCTACCTCAAGCATGTCAAACTCGTTTATTTGGTCCGTGTTAGCCTTTGAGTTTGACATGCTTGCTCTACATGGAAATGGAAACGGAAACGCGGGCACTGCCCAGGCCACCTCGCTGAGGTGAGAATGGTTGGGCGTGGGATCCAGGCCCAGTGAGCCTGACCCCGGCGACGGGTTCAAGGATGGCCCTGACGGACACCAGGCCACTGAGGACACCCCCCCGCCCCCCGCCGCCAGGCCTTGTGCTGGAAGCGTGCAGAAGGGAGCAGCTTTCCCAGGCTGCTGGCAGGTTGTGGGGCCCGTCCTTTAAGAGTGTGGGCCTTGGGTTGATCTTGACCTGGACCCTTTCTTCATCACTTCCTGGCCTGTGGCTTCTCTGGAAGCCTTCCTACTGCATACTTGCTGGTGACCTGGGGCGCTGGCAGGGCGGGAGGTGACACGTGAACACTGAGACAGAGGAAGTTGAACACTGAGACAGCCTGAGTGACATGGGCGGAGGCTGTGAACAGACGCCGCTCCCACGGACACACGTGGCCGGTGAGTGCATGGCAAGATGCGTAGCATTCGTCACTAGGCAAATGCAGATCTCAGCCCCTCGCCCCCACCGCGGAGGCTGTCATGAGATGGGTCCACGCTGCAGTTGTGGAAAACGAGTTCTCTCCTCCACTGCTGGTAGGATTGTAAGGTGGGGCAGCCTCTTTTGGAAGTTTGGCAAAGGATTAAAAGGTTACCATGGGAACCAGTCACTTCACTCCTCGGCATCTGCCCAGAACTGCAAAGACGTCCACACAAAACTCTGTATGTGAATGTTCATAGCATGATCCCCAACGGGAAGACTCCCCACCGGCCGGCGAGCGGTGCCAGGAGTGACCTGGCAATAGAAAGGCAGCGCTGCTGCGCGCTGTCAGGGATGAGCCCTGGACACGGACTAAGTTAGATCCCATTGGAGCCCCGGCCGGTTTCGCTCAGTGGTCAGAGCGCCAGCCTGTGGACTGATGGGTCACAGGTTCGATCCCCGGCCCGTTGGGGCATGTGGGGAAGGCGATCACGTCAGTGTTTCTCTCTTTCTCACCTCCCTCTCTCTCTAAAGATTAATGGAAAACATAGACTCTTAGATGAGGACTTAAAAAAATAAAAAAAGAATCCCATTTTATACCAATAGGCCAAAACTGGCCTGAAAACAGATACCAGATGAGCGACTGCACCAGAGGAAGGGACCAGAGCGCGAATGCTAACGGGTTCCTTTCTGAGGTGGAATGTTCTGGAAGAGTGGCAAAGGCCGCCAAGTTCTGAATGTTCTAAGCCCCCAGCCCGGACTGCACCCCTTTTAAAGGGCCTATTGAATGGTACATGCGGGATCACTCCTGACGGGAGACGCTCTAAAGGCCTCTCTCCGGCCTCTCTCCGGGCAGGCGCTCTGCAGAGCGAAGACGACTGCGGGGAATAAGAGATCCGAACGCCGTCTACCACCCACTCCCGCGTGGTTCGGTCACAACCACCTGCACAGAAAGAAAGGCCACACTGAACCGCTGCTTGTAACCCTTTATTGGGAAGGCGACAAACTGTATCGCCACTGTTTCTTCCGCGTCGGGTGGTGCGTGGGGAAGGAACTCGGGTACAGAACTGCCGTGCTGCCGCCTCGCCAGGCTGGCTGTAGTTTTTGTACCACAGAGGCAGGTGGCTAGGACAGTAATCGAAACCCCGCGGCCGGGAGAAACGCCAGGACACCTTCCTGCCCATTCAGGTCTGGCGGACCTGGGAGAGACTACGTGCGTTATATTTCGGTCAGGGATGGCATCACATGAAAAACTCCCTTTTCAGTTCTCTCCTGTTCTCTCACAAATGTAAAGTGTACACGGAGTCTCTTCTTTCAAATTCAAGTGTGTCCTGGGAAGGGGAAGGTCAGAGAGAGGAGGTGGGAAGAGCAACACAATGCCCTTCACACAGTGGTTGTGCCCGACTGTTCTCACACCGACCCAGGCTGGCTTTTCCATCAACAGCAGCGAGTCAATCCTCCCCCATCTCAAACACGCAGCCTGATGAAGACAGAATCTTTAACTTAACATTTAATGGAAACAGGCAATATGCAGACATGGTTCTAATATTGGTTTGCGGTTTCCTTGCTTTTATAAATAAAGGGGCGGTGGTGGGGTGCAGAGGCTATGTTGCCCCAATGCGCAGGGCCGTAACCGAGGAGCCATGTAACTCGGGTGTCCTGGAGTCTACAAAGCATCAATGGAAGCCAGTTTGGCCTGTTTCTACCGTCAAACTTTCATTCATGGTGTAAAACGATCAAATGGGCATGTGCCTGAGCATGAGCGTCAGGCCCACAGGTTTAAGGGCGGCTTGGGAGCCAGAACTAAGAATCCATTCTTCAGGTTAAGGATCCATTTGTCAGTTCAAAATATGCTCTTCCTGCTGCCCCGGCCGGTGTAGCCCCGTCGGTCGGAGCATCATTCCATGCACTGAAGGGTGGCGGCTTCCATTCCTGGTCAGGGCACATACCAGGTTGTGGGTTCCACCCCCGGTCTGGGCCGGTATGGAAGGCAACCGGATCAATGTCTCCCTCTCTCTCACATCAATGTTTCTCTCTCTCCTTTCCTCTCTCTAAAATCAATTTAAAAAAATGTTTTCCTCCTAAAAATGTGACACAAAAATAATTTACACCAACTGCTCTTTATTATCGAGTTTCAAAACCTTTCACAAGATGATAAAAAACAAGAAAAAGAAGAAAAAACCCAACAACGTGACCACCAGCGTGGATGTCATTCCCACTGTTCCGTCAGCTTCAAGCCCTGTGCGCAAAGCCCACTCCCATGCACCTAAGCGAGACGCAGGCTCGGAAACTCTTTATTCTGGTTGTAGCAGCTTATGACGCAGGTGCAGCCAAACACAAGCTCCAGGACACACTGGACACAGACTTACAACGTGGGCTTCGAGTTGCAAACATGGAACAAAAATCTACACGGAACTGATAGAAACCGCGCACAGACCAGGGCGGGCCTGGGGACGCTTGTCAGTCCTGCCTCCTCGAGTGCTCTCCTCTGTACAGACCGGTCAGACGAAGATGCAGAGCTCTGTGGTTAGTTAAATTATACACTCTGTAGATACTATACCGACTTTAAAGTTACACATAGACCAGGAAATATCCATCAGTTCATTCGGATCGACAGACCCTCTGGCTGGGCCGCTGGAGGAAACCCGCCTGCGCTGCGCGGCTCACTGGTGGGCACACTGCACGCCGGGGCCATGGTGGCTGCTGCTCTCCTCGTCGGAGCTGTCGTTGTAGGCCTCGCGCCTCTGCCCGCCTCCCGAGCCCCGGGTGCTGTCGAATTCCTGAAGCTCCA